TTAATCAAATTACCAAACAAGAGATTTTAGACCTCCTGTCGATATGTCTCAAACAAAATTACTTTCAATTTGAGAACAAAATATAATCCACGTCAAAAGAGTTTTGTATTGGTATAGATACGTAGATGACGTTATAGTATGGTTCAAAGGAACCAATAGACAATTAGACACTTTTCACCAATATCTCAATACTATTCATCCAAACATATAATTCACCATTGAAATAGAAACAGAAAAGTTAATCAATTTCTCAGATTCGACAATGAGTAGAATTGAAGAAAAAATATGATTTTTCAATTTTCGACAAACCTTCCCACACTGATATCACTATTCATAATGATTCAACACACCCTCATCAACATAAAATTGCAGCGTAGTTATGTATGTATGATAGATAGAGTATGATACACAGGCTAGTGAATGTCCCTCTTTCAGAAGTAAATTTCAATAAAGAACTCATTATCATAAAACAGATTGCAGTCAACAACGGATAAAACGTTAATTTGATAGACAGTATTCTTTCTAAAAAACTTCATAATGAAGCTATTCAAGAAGTTTATCCTACCATCAAGAATAATAATCAAAATTATAGAACTTCAACCTATTTTGGATCATCAACTAGAAAATTAGCTCCATTTATACATAAACAGGACCGAAAAGTAGCATATACTGGGTGTTAACAAATAAGTGTCACAACGGAAAACTGGAGATTTGTCATGAAAAAAGAAACATTTTTTTCCCCTTTGAAATTTTTTTCCGGGCTTCCGGTTTCAAGATACAGGACGTCAGAAAAATACAAAAAAATCTGTTTTTTGCTACTATATCAGGAACCGTTTGAGGTACGGAGTTAAGCCTTCGTACACACTTCATCATCAATAATGACTACTTTTAGGGCTCTCAATCAATTTCCTTGGACATGTCAGTGGAGGAGAATTCAACGCCTCGTAAGGGTTTAACCCCACAAACATTAATGCCACTGGAGAAATTGTAATTTCCAAAGTAGATTCTGAAGCGCCAATATCTTTCACACAAAAAACGTCCTCTTGTCTCAATGCTCTAAAGTGAACAGTTTCCGCGAAAAATTGCTCTTGATGAATAAGAACATACAAAATCCTGAAAATCTCCAAAAATCCACTGGAAATAAACACCTCAGAACTGTCTAATAATATGTTCAATAAAATGTCAGGTTCTTGAGTATGCTGGTCTCGATGCTGGTTTTCAGATTGTTGAGTTCATTAAGTGTTGTAAAGTGTGTTCAATTAAACATTTTTGATTTTTTGACGCCCTGTTTCTTGAAAACGGAAGCCCGGAGAAAAAATTCGAAGAGGAAATAACTGTTTATTTTATTATGAGGAATCTATACAGTTTCCCGTTGTGACACTTATTTGTTAACACCCTGTAGAACAAATAACACGTTGGGAAGGTTTATAAAAAATAATGAAGACAAAACTTCTAAATTCGAAGAATCAGGGGTATACAAACTCAACTGTAATGGATCTTGTCCTAAGGTATATATCGGTCAGACAGGTCGTACGTTTAATCAGCACATTCATGAACATAACATGAATTTTTTGAAAAAGAAGACAAATTCAACATAAGCCAACAATATATTAGAAGAAAACCATAGTTTTAGTGATAATTCTGAAATTCTAAACGTAGAGAATGAAGGAATAAAACTATTATCATTTTGAATCATCAGAAATCAGAAAACTCGAAAATTCTAACATTTTACTTAACCATCAACTAATCCTCAATAATTCACTACTGTTGAATTTGTTTTCTCAGTAGGTAGTAATATTATTTGCTATCAACCCTTTCATGTTAATCCTGTACACAGTGTTTTAAAGTAGATATTATGCCTATTTTCCGAAAATGAAGGTTTATCGAACCTTTCCACAGGTAATTCTAATCCTACAGGGTGGGAAAGTAACCCTAATAACACACTTATGTCCCATGGGTATCCTTAGGACGTCCTGTCGGGACATTCAGGGCGTCCATAGGACTTTCGAATTTGGTACCGTGGACGTCCATTGGACGTCTGAGGGACGCACAAATGTCCCACTTGAGGACCAACTAGGGACGTCCTTGAGGGATGTCCCTGGAACAACTATCGAATACCTAAATCCTACAGTATTCGTCATCAAGCACTACAGAGGACATCCTTAGAACATCCATAGGACAACCTATCAGCAACGCTGAGGAATATTAACTGGATGTCCATAGGATGTCCCAGAGACGTACGAATTATTCTTGAATTTGAATTTTTCTGGGTCCCTCTAAGACCAGATCTTGCATAACTGATTAGAACATCCAGTTGAGTTGATGGTCCGTAGAAGGTCCCTAAAAAGTTTTCCAAGGATGTTCAATGGACTTACGTGAAGGACATTGACGAGGAGTACTTATAGCCAACGAGCAATCATTCGTCGGCGAGGTGTAAATTAACGTCCTCGCAGGGACAACATATTGAAAGTACCGACTGGGACGTCCATTGGACGTTATTTCTGGGACATTGGAAGAGTACAGTGCATGTACCAATTGGGACATCCGATCCTGAAAATATTAAGGGCGTCTGTACAGAGATATTTGAAGGAATGTACCATCAGGGACATTTCATGGTTGTCTAGAAGGGACATTATATAAGATCTGAAGTCATGCCAGAATATGTACTACTCGGGACATCCGATGGATCTCCCTAAAGGAACGTTTAAAATCATATCTCATCAGGGACATGCCAAGGACATCCTTGTATGGACATTCTACAATATGTACCACGTGGGACGTCTGAGGGATGCTTTTTCTAGGACATTTGAAATGATGTACCAGCTGGGACATTCCGTGGACGTCCTTGCTCGGACATTCCATGAGATGTACGGGATAGGATGTTCCAAGGACACTTATTTTTGGTTCGGGACATTCGGACGAGAATTGTACCAAATAGGGACGTCCCTTGGATGTTGTGTGCTATTAGGGAATATATATAAAAGTTAGGCGAGCCAAGGTTGAAACAACTAGGAAAAAAGCCAAATACTCAAAGTGGAATGCAATGTTCACAAAGAGAGAGAAACTCAAAGTCATTACCACAATAGTTCATAAAAAGAGCGAAAATGGTAGATAACGAGATAAAAACAACGACTTTCCTGGCTATATGTCACGTAGAACATCTTCCCGAAATCTATGCAGTTATTCGTATAGACGAATAAAATCGCAAATGTTTCCTTCCTAAACGCCGAGCTGCGCTAAGTGGTTCAGGAACGCGTGACTACCTGCAGACCGGTTTCGAGCTGTTGGCTCTCATCAGTGCAGGGTTGTCCCAGATAGCTTCTTGGCCGCTATTTTGTGCGAACCTGACCCAACGACCCCAACGTAAACGCATCTCAGCAATTATACCCCACGAGGCGCTCATCGTCCGCGAAATGAAACGCGAACGCCGAACGCCACCTGGCAAGGAAAGAAACACTCCAAAACAAGATCCCAATTTCAGGTGAAATGGGAATGGCTGGTTGCTCGACTGGCGTATTTTTAACTAGGAAAAAGCCAAATACTCCAAAGTGGAATACAATGGTAACAACCCAGCGAGCACAAACATCCCTGGGATGTTTCGGGATGTTTTGAAAATGTTGGCATGAAGATGTTATTTTGAGACGTAATATGCACTGACCAAAGAGGTCTTTGAAGGATATTGAAGTATTGTTTTTGTTATTCTGTGGCATTTCTTTGTTTGCCTACTGAGAGGTATCCCTGGGATGTTTTGGGATGTTTTAGAAATGTAGGCATGAGGATGTTTTTTGAGGCGTAATATGCACTTCCCAAAGATGTCTTAGAAGGTTATTGAAAGTATTGTTTTTGTTCTTTTGTGCCCTTTCTTTGTTTGCCCCACAACAACGTCTCATATGCTTACGTCACAATACGATGAATTCTGATTTGTTTTAGATTTTGTTCTTCTTGTTCGCAATTGGCATTCGCGTTTTCAGCGTGTCACGCTTACATCACGCTGCTAACGAACAGAAAGGAATTTGGTTAAGTTTATTGTGTTAGAAGACTTATTTAGTTTGTAATAATGACCATCAGATGCAAGATGTGTTCTTCGGTGCCTCAGTGTAATCAATATATAAAAGTACGAATTTATCAATAGGTACACAGCTTCTCCGCAGTTGCAAAATCATGCATTGTGGGGAACATTTCAAAAATTGGGAAACCTATTTCCAATTATATGTCTGTGTGTAGTAAGCACTACTCAGAAACCGATTAAGAAGGTAATTTTATATCAAGAAAATATTTTTATGTTCAATCTATTTTTAATGCATTTTTTCATTCAAGGGAAATGGAATCCTAATGCATAAGTTCATTTTGACAAAAGGTTTCAGAAAAGTACCTCGAAAATGTTTTTTTACAGCGATTTAATGTGCGCAAGACGCGTTGAAAATGTTTTGTTGTGTCCATGCAAAGGCTTTAAAAAGAACTAGGGAGAAGGTAGTTTTGTGACATATCAAGGACATGTCGATAATTGCCGCCTGCGGCGGACATTGGCTGTTCAATGTCTCGAAATCTCGTACTTTCAACATCTCTGACATATTTTTGTGCTCGCTGGGAAATAGAGAGAAACTCAAAGTCATTACCACAATAGTTCATAAAATGAACGAAAATGGTAGATAACGAGAGAAAAACACAAACTACTTTCCTGGCTATATGCTATACGAATTATTGCATAGATTTCGGGAGGATATAATCCAATATTCTGTGTGGCATATAGCCGGGAAAGTAGTTGTTTTCCTCTCGTTATCTACCATTTTAGTCAAGTTTATGAACTATTGTGGTAATGACTTTGAGTTTCCCTCCTGTATTGTACCTGTATTTCACCTGATGAAGCTACTGTGCTAGCGAAACATGTCATTTGATTAAGAATTTTGTGGAAATCTTATCATTTGTGAAGTTTTTACATTTGCTATGGATGTCCATCAAGTAACGGCCGAGTCAATTCAAAACTATTATTGTCATTTTAGGAGATGAGCCCAAGCAAGGCTACGCCACAATAATATGGTTCCACCCCGGCAGCTTCGTCATAGGCTCCCCTTCTATGTGGAACCCTCACACCCTTGTCTACCGCCAGAGGGTGATCATCGTTTCGGTGGCCTATCGACTCAACATCATGGGTTTTTTCACCACCATGGATGGAGAAGCTTCAGGTAATCACTGAGAATTTAAATGCAATATTGAATGCGTCTCAAAGTCAGCAAACTATAGGAAGTTTCAATTTTCCATCGATAATTTTCTTATTGCTACATCGCCATAAGATATTCTGATGCAAAAAACCAAATCCCCCTTTGTGAGACTTGAAACTGACAGTTGACAGCTTAACTAATGATGGAGTGACTCTTTGGTTCTCAATTTCGAGAACAGCAAAAATTTATTTCATTTTTCCAGAGCAAAACATAGAACAACAGGCGTGAGAAGTCAAAAAAATTGTTCGAATATTGAACCATTTCATTTTTAATCTTTGGTAGAAGTCCATATTGCTCAAAGTGGAGTGAAATATTTCACAGGAAGGAAGGATGACTTCGAGCATTCCTTCCTTCCTGCATTTTCATATTTGTCCACAACATTTGTTTCTCCCTTGGCAGTCCCCGCGAGATTAACCCGTCGAGTTGAGGCTTCGCACCCCTTCGCGGTCACTTTGGAGACCTGCAGAACATCTCTTTCCAAAGACTCGTTCATCCATCAACGAACAGCGAGGGTCTGGAACACATTGCCAAGGAAAGTGTTCCCCGAGGTATATATATATAACCTGCAGAAATTCAAGAAGAACACCAATTCCTACCTTATTTTCCTTGGTTCTCTCGATGTTCTCTGAACATTACAGGATATCCCTTTTCGTGGGAACCAGAACATAAAAAAAACACAGACAGCACTAGATGTTCTTAGAATATTCTCTTCATACAGGGTGTCCAAGATACAGTGTGTTAAACTTTTTAGAAAAAAATCGTTTTTTATGAATATCTCAAATATCCTTCCACCGATTCGCTTGAAATTTGGCAATGATATTTTTTTCATGAGGGGCTGATTTAGCCATAATTGAATTAGAATTGTGAAATCCAGTGGCGTCCCGGAGACACCCTACCGAATATTATTGTCAATAAAATGTGCGCCACTGATTTTTTCATATTCTTTATATCCATATCCTATTGATTAACTGAAAATACAACATTTTGGTCTCTTGAATCGTTTTGCTATTTTGTATTGTATCATTGTATAAATCCAACTCTTGTCATAAAGCTCGAAAACTTTGGTGTGCATGGAAGCTTGTTGGGACTCCTGACCTCATACCTGAAAGATCATTGTCAGTTTGTGATCGTCAATGGAGTTCAATCATCCATTGAACTAGTTTCTTCTGGGGTACCTCAAGGGTCACACTTGGGACCTCTACTTTTTAATATATTCCTCAACGATATTGATGCATGTTTTCAACACACTAATATTCTATTGTACGCCGATGATATGAAAATCTTTAAGAAAATAAAAAATGCCAGTGACTACTACAAAAAAAACAAACTCTTCTTGAACCTCGAAAAATGTCAACAAATATTATTCACGAGAGCACGAGACCCTAGGCCTCAGAAATCTTTCGTTATCAGGGCAAAATCTCAATGTCGTAAACAAAATCGAAGAACTTGGAATTATTTTAGATTATAAGCTTCACTTCGATGTGCATATTGAAAATTCTATACAAAGAGCTCAACAAAACTTGGGTTTCATTCTGAGGGCCACACAATCTTTTGAAAAATCAGAATCGATAATAATTTTATACAACTCGATAGTAGAATCAATTTTGGAATATGCCTCGACAATTTGGAACCCAATTTATGGTACTTATGTAGACAGGATCGATATTATTCAACGGAAATTGATCAACGAACTAAACTACAAGTTCAATAGAAATCGGCACAACTTTTCGTATGAAAGCAATTTAAAATTTTATAAACTTCAACATTTACGTCAGAGAAGAGAGTTTTCCGATGTTTGTCTGATACACAAACTATACAATAACCTTATCAATTCCAGATATTGTCTTCACTATGTATCCATAAATTGTTCTCCTTATATCATTAGAAATAGAAGTCTCCTTTTGACTCCTGAAAGTAGAAGAAATTACGTTCTGAATTCTCCTGTACACAGACGTGTTGAATGATATAACTCAGCTCTGAGTGATGATAGAATTAGTAATATTGATATCTTCTCGCAAAACCTTAGTCAATTCAAGAGATGTCTGAAGAAAATTATTTATTCATAAGTTCAGATAAAACTTATATGTACCTTATTGATTACACCTCCATTGTTTCAATATATACTACTATGTCTTCTCGTCATTCCATGTATATATTATATGATTTGAAATATTTCAAGAATCTTTTTTGTAACTATTGTTTATTTTTGTGATCTGTGCTACTCTATTATTGGGTTTCTGACCTGTTGAGTGGCCCAAACTTAAATAAATAAATAAATAAATAAAAAAAAAAAAAGAAAGAGAAAAAAAAATTGTGCAAAACATTGCTTCAAAAATAGGGGTGAAATTGAATCTGTGATCCATGTCCATAGACGTAGAATGAGAAAGAAGATTCATTTTCTGCAAATATATTTTAAAACATGTTTGACACACTTTGTATTATCGAAAACTACGCCTTCCTGGACCGAGAATACCTACTTCTCAGTATACAGAGTGTAGAGTGTGTCAAACACGTATCAAGAAATATTTGAAGAAAATTAATCATCATACTTATTCTATGTCTATAGAAATTGATCATGCATCTATTTTCACCCCAGTTTCTGAAGGAACTTTTTGTCAAAAATTTATGCAATAAATTGGTATTTATTTTTTTCCATGGAAATGAAGCAAACTATCAAAATTCTAGAGATCAAAATGTTGTATTTTTAGTTGGTCGATAGGCTATGAAGATACAGAATTCAAAAAAATCAGTTGGGCACATTTTATTGACAATGATATTCGGTGGGTTGCCCCCGGGACGCCACTGGATTTCATGATTCCAATTGAATTATGGCTATATCAGCCCCTCATGACAAAAAATATCATTGCCAAATTTCAAGAAAATCGGTGGAAGGACATTTGAGATATTCATAAAAAAACGATCTTTTTTAATAGTTTTAACACACTGTATGTTGGAAACTATGCGATTCCGGACCCACGTACATATGAAATGAATTTCTTATTTCATCATGTAGAATCACCCCCTGGATTTTTTGCGCATAATTTCCTGTATACTAAAAAGAGAAATACAGTGTGTCCCACTTACCATGCTCACCATGGGTATCTTTTTAACGGTGAGAGATACGAGGTCGGTTAAATGACACCAAATGTGGAGTTTGTCAAGGCCAACTATAATGTGAAAAAATATTTTGATGAAATCTATTCGTTTTTGTTTTATACGCAAAAAACAGATTTTGATCATTTTCATGTCTCCTCCGTAACTTCTTTATTTATGAAAATATTCAAATAGGAATTTCACATTCTCATGACAGTTTTTCAAAGTGATTTCGAAAAAAATATGAAATTTATACCAACTCTTCTAGAATTTTAGATATCAGCACCAACTTTAGTTTTTCAAATGTAGGTCAAAGCTCACTATGACTTAGTAACAAATAACTTTTTTTTCTTTTACAGATATGTCGCAGTAATAGTTTTGTGTTGATAACAACAGAGTTATCGTCATTTATACAAAAACAAAAAAATATTTGGAAGCCGCCATCTCGAATTTATGAAATTTATCAAGAAAATCATGATTCCCGACCCCAAAAACCTCCACTTACCAATTTTGAATGGAATCGGACCAAATCTTGTCCGCCATCTTGGAGCAGCCATTTTTTTTAATTTCAACAAAAATCCCATAATGTATTGTCACCGAAATTATGAACACCTGCCAAATTCCAAGTTAATCGGAGTTATGGAATTTTTGTTGAAATTTGAAAAAATGGCTGCTCCAAGATGGCGGACAAGATTTGGTCCGATTCCATTCAAAATTGGTGAGTGGGAGTTTTTGAGGTCGGAGATCATGATTTTTTTGTTGAAATTTATAAATTCAAGATGGCGGCTTCCAAATAATTTTTTGTTTTTGTAAAAATGACGATAACTCCGTTGTTATCAACACAAAACTATTACTGCGACATATCATCTGTAAGAGAAAAAAAAGTTATTTGTAACTAAGTCATAGAGAGCTATGACCTACATTTGAAAAACTAAAGTTGGTGCTGATATCTCAAATTCTTGAAGAGTTGGTATAAATTCCATATTTTTTTCGAAATCACTTTGAAAAACTGCCATGAGAATGTGAAATTCCTATTTGAATATTTTCATAAATAAAGAAGTTACGGAGGAGACATGAAAATGATCAAAATCTGTTTTTTGCGTATAAAACAAAAACGAATAGATTTTAACGAAATATTTTTTCACATTATAGTTGGCCTTGACAAACTCCACATTTGGTGTCATTTAACCGACCTCGTATCTCTCACCGTTAAAAAGATACCCATGGTGAGCATGGTAAGTGGGACACACTGTATAAGCAGCACACTAGAATAGGATATTCAGTTTTAATCTTCTCCTGAAGATGCTAACATAGTTAGCGAAACACGTGTCGAGGCGTTAAAAAATTATCGTGCCAAAGGTTCCAGAGTCTTCGATATATTTGTATGTATACCTAACCCCGCACAAGTTTCGACTTATGAGGCGTTTGGTCCCAGTGCTGGGACCAACGAGGTATGCAATTGAAAAAAAAAATATGATAGGGAGATTCATGGAATATCTGGTGCTGTCTGGGACGGAATCGATGACGTCATTACTTCAGCTTCCAAATAAGGAAAAATAGTCAAATGTGTATTTGCATTTTTTCAGGTAACTACGGTCTTATGGACCAGCAGGCTGCGATGCAGTGGGTGAAGAGGAACATAAAGCTGTTCGGCGGAAATCCTGATAACATCTGCATCATGGGGTATGGATCAGGGGCTATGAGCGTTCAGCTGCACATGATCAGTCCCGGATCCAGGGGACTCTTCAATAAGGCCATCGCTATGAGCGGTGAGTATTGAGATGGTTTAGATGTAATAGAAAGTCAAATGGTGTTATCACTTCTTATTGAAAGGACGAAATCTCTCGATATGGCCTACATTGTAAAAATAGCGAGGAAGGGGAGAATCTTGGTAAACTTGCGAAGTTTCAAACCAAATTTACAGGCATCATGACACATTTTTTGTTTGAATGGGAACGATCCGTCATATTTTCGACTTTCAATGGTGAATTCATAAACAACACCAAGTCCTAACTCGAGAGAATCCTGTGATAAACTGATAATAGTTTATTTACTCACTTTTGTTACATAAAATGAAATAAATTTTCGGATTTTCAAATAATCCTCACACATTGCAGCAGTCAGTCCATGATGAAATCACAATACACTCACTCAACTGATATCAATACCTGCTGCTTGAAGAATATAGGAATCCTTAAATTCGTGAAATAACTACACATCAAAATTTGCTGATGAGGCATTCATGACTCTTTAAACTCGATATACACCTAAGTTCCTCTCAATCTTGGGGCATTTCCAAGATATACGAAACTGCAACCTACACGGAAAAAAAACTTCACATACTGTGATGATTTAGGTACCGATTCTGCCCAGGTTTGTTGGATTCGTATTTGTTTTCTTCAAAGAGAATACATGTACTTGAATGCTAAATATTTCAAAGCTTTAACCATAAAAAAACACCTCGGTTCTTCTCAATCTTGGACCATTTCCAAGATAAACAAAACTGTAACCTTTACAAGAAAAAAACCTTCTTTCTCGATACAATTTTTCGTTCCTCGTTTCCAGGTGGCGACTAATTCTCTCCTTCTGCCGTGAAAAAACGGAAAGACGACAAAGAAATCCTCGACCGAGTAGTCAACATCTTCGCTTGCAACAGAAAAAAAATGTAACACTAATTGTGAAAAAAATGCGAATTCTTCATATTCTTGAAATTACTGAAACTATTTAAAAATTTACTAATAAAGCATTCTCGACACTTCAAATAGAAAAAACTCAGCAACGCATATAAAACTTCACGTATTGTGATGATTTACTGGTTCTGTCTAGTTTTGTTGGAATCGGATTTTTTTCCTTCAAAAAAGATATTTATGAATCCTGAATATCTGAAAAAAAATTGAAAAATATAGGAATCCTGAGATTCGTGGAATAACTACACTTCAAAGTTTGCTAATGAAGCATTGATGACACTTTAAACTCAATAAACATCTCAGTTCCTCTCAATCTTGTACCATTTCCAAGATATATGAAACTGCAACCTACACAAAAAAAACTTCACATACTGTGATGATCTAGGTACCGATTCTGCCCAACTTTGTTGGATTCGTATTTATTCTCTTCAAAGAGGAACCTCTGTTCTTCTCAATCTTGATCAGTGTGAAACCAGCCATGAGTTCTAGCTACGACTTCGCCTAATATTCAAGGCGCGCGCCATACCACCAATGGTCGTTCATTATCAATTTATATTCATGGCTGGCCATGAAATTACTTCAACCTCCAAAATATGTCTATGGATGAAACTATTTTACATCAATATATTTCTCTGAGCGTCTATGATAATCTGTATATCTCACAATATTTTGTCGGGCAAGAATTAACCCACAGGCGCCCTTTTTCGGGATTTCTAAAAAAATCATAACATTTTCAAAATACATGTGGATGGGAGTTTTTTCCTATGAATGTGTTCCTCTGGTAGTACTTGATATGTATATCTCACAATATTTTGTCGGGCAAGAATTAACCCCACAGGCCCCCTTTTTCGGAATTTCGAAAAAAAGTCATAACTTTTTCAAAATACACGTGGATGGGAGTTTTTTTTCTATAAATGTGTTCCTCTGATAGTACTCAATAATATGTATATCTCACGATATTTTGTAGGGCAAGAATTTACCCCACAGGCCCCCTTTTTCGGAAATTCGAAAAAAAATCATAACTTTTTCAAAATACACGTGGATCGGAGTTTTTTCTATGAATGTATTCCTCTAATGGTACTCAACAATATGTATATCTCACAATATTTTGTCGGGCAAGAATTTACCCCACAGGCACCCTTTTTCGGAATTTCGGAAAAAAATCATTACTTTTTCAAAATACACGTTTCGAAAAAGTGGGCCTGTGGGGTTAATTCTTGCCCGACAAAATATTGTGAGATATACATATTATTGAGTACCATCAGAGGAATACATTCATAGAAAAAAACTCCCACCCACGTGTTTTTTGAAAAAGTTATGATTTTTTTTAGAAATCCCGAAAAAGGGGGCCTGTGGGGTTAATCCTTGCCCGACAAAATATTGTGAGATATACAGATTATCATAGACCCTCAGAGAAATTCATTGATGTAAAATAGTTTCATCCATGGACATATTTTGGAGGTGTAAGTAATTTCATGGCCAGCCATGAATATAAATTGATAATGAACGACCATTGGTGGTATGGCGCGCGCCTTGGATATTAGGCGAAGTCGTGGCTGGAACTCGTGGCTGGTTTCACACTGATTCAATCTTGGACCATTTTCAAGATGAACAGAACTGTAACTTACACGAAAAAAAAAAATTATTTCTTAATAGAATTTCTCTTTCCTCGTTTCCAGGTGGCGACTATTTCACCCCCTCCGCCGTGAAAAAACCGAAAGACGACAAAGAAACCCTCGACCGTGTGGCCAACATCTTCGCTTGCAATAGAAAACCCACCTCGAAGCTCATAGCATGCCTGAGGCACGCCGAGGCAGAGTCCCTAGTGCAAGAAACCTCAGACATCGATTGGAAACCGATTTTAGACGCTGCCATCACCAACAGCAGCACTCCTTTTCTGTCAGAACTCTCCATCAATTTTTTTGAGAACGGCGATTTTGAGAAAGTTCCTTTGTTGACCGGTTACACCCACATGGAGCAAGTTCTGGAGCTGGACAGCTTGAAGAATTTGACTTCAACCTCTAATGAGTACTTGCAGGTAGGGTTGGCAAAATTTCACTTTTAGTTATGAAAAGAAATTTCAATCGACATTTTCATGAAATATATGAAATTTTGTTACATAAAATTAATTTCCAGAAATTTTCACTTATAACCCAGCCAACCATGAGATGTATAAGTGATGTATACGCCACATCACTTTGTGACATGCGATATCGCATTTGAAGTCACAAACATGTTACCGATACAACGTGGCGATGTGAAAATGTCCGACTCAAGCAACATCACTGTGACGTCGTTCAGACATGAAATGCGACATCACATGAAAAATCACTACCAGGTCACATACAAGTGTACATTTCATATTAAAAATACATCACACTGCGACATCGATGATGTGGTCGCCGTACCTGTGATATTCGTGTCGGTGGGATATATAATAATAATAATAATTATTCAACTCTACGAAGAAAATGTTTATTTTCCGAAAGTAAAAACAGATGATACAAAACTTATCATGACAATCACCCTAATTAGTAATCTTGAATTAAAACATGACACATATATATAGCAATACAAATATACATTATTCATAAATGATACTTATCAAATACACTTACATTATCTTGGGATCTTTCATCCACCTTGGTTTAAAATTGCAATATTCCTATCTCAGAGATAATTACAATATTACCAATTGTGATTGAACTCACCGTCTTTCCCTCGGTCTCTCCTAAATGATTGTATACCTCCAATTTGAAGCTGCTATAATATGTACTATAAATCATCTCAGATATTTCAACAGAGAATTTGGAAGGAGATAGTCTGTACGGAGTCGGACTCACTCACTGACTGACTGACGTGGCCATGCACAGTTCAACATGGCGTCTGGCGTGTGCGTTCGTTTTGCGCATGTCTGCGTCACACTCACAGGTCACAAAGATATCTCATGAGGATATCATTATGAATTATTTAGTTAACGTCGAAGAGATGTATTTGAAGAAGTCGCTGCCACATTACATAGTTTCCTGGTTGCGATGACACCTTGCGACGTTGATATCGAATCTACGTCGAATAGATGTGTTAACGAGATGTTGCATTCATGCAAGGTTTTTACATCATACAGATGTTGATGTCACACGATGGTTGGCTGGGAATACCAATTAGGGGTGGGCGATAGTGATTTTGGATTATCGGTAATCACAAATGTACCGATATTATCAAATTTGTCGATATTATCGAAGTTATCGATATGGTAAAACTGCACTTATCATGCGATGGGTTTTTTCGAAAGGTTTTTTTTTGTACTTACGTATTTTTGTCTGAAAAACACGAATTTGATAATGCATATGCGAATAAACCACTATTCATTGAGATATTTCATGAAAAAATTCGATATTTCGGCCTTCTTCTTCCCCCTGTGTTGGATGCATTTACTGCTATCTACTTGCTCTTCTTATTTTGTCATTGGGGTGTCCCTTCGGGAACTGCATCGATCAATATTTAGAAAACAATAGGTGGGCCGAATTTGAAAATTGAGAGTTTACTACTGTTGATGAGTGCTATCCGGCTAAAATATTTTGAAGATTGTGGCACTTCCGGTTGTACCGGAAGTGGACCCCTATTTTGTTATTTTATATGGGACACCCTGTATATTATCAAGGTTTCAGATTTTACGCATGATTCTGAACATGTTTCATGTATAATGTCCTATAACCAAGTCTAACCGTTTTCGAAATATTTCAAATTTTAAGTTGAAAACTTTGCAGACCCACAAATATTTTTTCTTATTTCTGGACATGATCATTAATTTCCGATTATATATCGATTTATGCCTAGGAGAGGACTCAGTTCAGTAGAATTTCTATCTCAATTCGATTAGAGTTATACAGGGCGTTCACCAGAAAATGATACAGATCCGGTTGGAAAAATTATTGTAAGTCAATTTTTTCGAATGGGAACCCCCCAATCTTATATTCTCATTCGATTCGGCATCGAAAATGAATCTAACTTTGAATAAGGTTATCTATGCCTACACTCAACAAATCTCGAAATATTGGCGAGTTTACTTATTCTTAGTTGGCCATGGCGCCCGCAGTTTCGTAGGAAACAATCAACTGCCACGGAAATGTCATTTATTAATTTATGGCGAATGTAATAGGATTATCTCAAGACTATGTGATATATTTGCTATTCGGTATCCGCAGAAGCAGAAGCCCTCACAAAATACCTCAAAATGAATTATAGAAAATTTCAAAAACTTGTGGCAGTTGATTGTTTCCAACGCGACTGCAGGCGCCATGGCCAACTAAGAATAAGTAAACTCAAGAATACGAGATTTTCTGGAACTGATAAGATAACCTTATTCAAAATTAGCTTTATTTTCGATGCCAAATCGAATGAGAATATAAAGTTGGGGGTTTTCCATTTGAAAAAATTGACTTACAATAATTTTTCAACAGGATCTGTATCATTTTCTGGTGAACGCCCTGTAAGTACAACCGGAAGTGTCACAATCTTCAAAATATTTTAGCCGGATAGCACTTATCAACAATAGTGAACTCCTATATTTTCAAATTCGGCCCATCTATGGTTTTCTATATTTTGATCGATGCAGGAAGGACATCCTGTATACTCATGATGTACTTCAATGACACATTTTTATATAGAAAATTCAACACGAAATATGATTTTTAAGGCGAGTTTTCCATATTTAGTGAACAATCATACCAGATGACGGCCATTTAATCAATAGTCAATTCAAATACGAGATGTCAAATGTCAACAGATTGCTTTTGGATGACATTACACACGCCATTATTTTAAGTGACATTCTTCCTTTTTTTCACTAAATATGGATAAATCGCAAGAAAATCATATTTCTTGTTTACTCATATAATGAAAAAAAAATGTTTCATTGAAGTACATTGTGATATATAAATTGTCCAATGAAAAAAGAAGGGCAAATTGTTCTAAATGCGATCCAAAAGACAGGCGGAAAAGAAGGTGTTTGTAACTTTATAGTGAAATATCTTAATAAATAATGGTTTGTTCACATTTTCATTATCAAATTCATGGTTTTCAGACAAAAATACGAAGGTACAAAAAAAAATTCGAAAAAAAACCATTGCATGCAATTTTACCATTGATATCAATATTATCGATATACCGCAAAGATTCCCAATTATGCTGATAACACCAATTTCGTCCTGATGAGTCCAAAATTACTGGATGTCGTGGATAAGGGTTCCGTACTTATGAGTAGAACTGAGGATTTTTTTCATTAAAACAAATAAACCATAAATAGTGAAAAATCTGAGTGCAAATTACTGATAATCAATAACATACACAAGCCAGATAGTATAGAAATAAATGAACAAAAAATGAAATGCAGTTCCTCGGTTCGTTTTTTGGGAGTTCATATATCAATGACACCATGACGTGGACAACTCAGGGAGAAATACTAGGTAACAAACTGTCTTCAATAACTTAAGTAATTAGAGTTCTGAAACGAAATGTAAACACAGATGTGCTGCTTTCAGTATATTATGCTAACTTGTTTTCAGAATGAAATTCGGTATTGCATCGTGGGGAGGTTGTTTCAACTTGAATAACATCTTTAAATGCCAGAAAAAGGTTGTAAGAATAATATTTGGTTTATCCTATGATGAGTCATATAGAGGAATTTTCAAATCAAACAACATATTAACAGTTCCTGCAGTTTTTATCTTAAGCATAAATAGTACTATGACAACTATAAACAGACCCATGTTCGCAGAACTAGATATGATTATAACTACCCCATACTGGCCCATACATACAAAAACTAGGTTTGAGAGAGGTCCACTATACAGGGTGATTCAGGTTTTAAGGCACAAACTGAAATGGGAGATACATCTCATCATTTTGATCAAAAAAGTTTATATAAACATAAGTCCGATCTCGTTTATTAGCGGAGCTACAGGGGGTCAAAGTTTAATTATTTTTTCTATTAATTGAAATTTGGTGTGGTCAATACTTTCTAGAAGATCATCATTTCAAGCCATTTAAAGATTTTTAAAATCTACAGGGAGATACGTTTTTGGGGGTAGAGGCTTTTTTATCCCCCTCAAACTTTTTCGTAGTACGCCTCTGGCATCTTTCAGTGATAAAATTGTGTGAATCGTTCAATTTACAGGCTTTTTTGCGCTTCCATTTTTTTCGAGAAACAAACCGGTTTTACGATAAATAAGCATATATACGTTCTTAAAACATGTTAATTTTGCCTACGTTTCGCTTACATTTTATTTTCGTTGAAAATGCAATGAAATGTACTCACTAAAATTGCAATCACGAGTCCAATCTGGATCAGTATTGGGGATACAGAGGGTAAAAAGTCAAGGTTTTTTTTTCAGTTGAATAAAATTTAAGCGAAACATTGGCAAAATTAACATGTTTTAGAACGTATAAGCTTATTTATCTCAAAAACGGTTCGTTTCTCGAAAAAACTTCAAAAAAAGCCTCTAAATTGAACGATCCACATAATTTGATCACTGATAGATGCCAGAGGCGTATTACGGAAAAGTTTGGGGGGAATAAGGAAGCGTCTACCCCCATAAACGTATCACCCTGTAGATTTTGAAAATATTTAGATGGCTTGAAATGATCATCTTCTAGGAAGTATTGACCACACTGAATTTCAAAATGATATCTTAAAAAGTAAGCGAGATATTTCAACTAATAAAATAAAATAATTTATCTTTGACCCCCTGTAACTCCGCTATTGAACGAGATCGGACTAATGTTTATATAAACTTTTTGGATTAAAATGATGAGATCTATCTTCCATTTCAGTTTGTGCCTCAAAACCTGAATCACCCTGTATAATGCAATAATTTTTCGAGGAAGCAACAAAATAAAAAATTCAAAAAACTCCTTTTTATTCATTTGTATATCTCAAGATTTAGAATTTTCAGCTGGATGTTGAAAACCGACATGAAAATTAAATCCGTCCCCGCAAAGTCGGTAGAAATATATTTTCTTACAAGAAACTCAAACCACTATTCAGAAGGTATCAATGATATTTGCTTCCGTCATGTTATTAGGTTGAATACGATATGAAATAACAAAAAATAAGTCGATAGTAGTTCAATCTCCCAGTTTTAACAACATTCATTTAGATACACCCACAGTCTCCGAACATACCCGAAGGAGGCACTGTTGCCAAATTCTATCCTATATACCATAATTCAATTTTTTTTATGTTCTGGTTCCCACGAAAAGGGATATCCTGTAATGTTCAGAGAACATCGTGAGAACCAAGGGAAATAGGGTAGGGATTGGTGGTCTTCTTGAATTTCTGGAGGTTATATGCCTCGGGGAACACCTCCCTTGGCAGTGTGTTCCAGAGCCTCGCTGTTGGTTAGATGAACGAGTCTTTGAAAAGAGATGTTCTGCAGGTCTCCAAAGTGACCACGAAGGGGTGTGAAGCCTCAACTCGACGGTAGGAGAACTGGCAAGGGAGGTACAATTGTTGATATTTCAGAAGAGCATCGTCCATGAAAATATCTATAAAATAGAGCCAGATCGCCAAGTTTTCTACAGTGTTCCAGAGAAGAAGAAATGAAACTGTCATTGTGGGCCTATCGACACATTGCGTTACACCTACATTTCGATAGCCCCACATTTCATTAGTCCCAGATTTCGTTAGCCCCACATTTTGTTAGCCCCACATTTCTTTATTCCCACTGTCTCGGAACATACCCGAAGGATGCACGTTTGCCAGATGTGGGTGTAACACAATGTGCCTTAGGCCCACAATGTCTAGTAGACGCGTCTAGCTATAGCATTTCCCTCAATGGCTTCCTGAATTCCGAATACGTAATATGAGGAAGGAAAATATCCTTTCTGCATAAGAAAGGAGACTACTTTTTCTGAACATTCTAACCTTGCTCGGCCTAAATAATAATAATAATAATAATAATAAATGACTTTATTGTTTTCAACAGTTACAATATTATAGTAAGTAAATTAACATAGTAACTAGAAATAAGAAAACAAAAGGCGAAGTTCAATTTGGATGCCGCAAGCGTCACCAAATTGCTCTTCCACTTAACCTCACAAAATCTCTACCGTGCATTTTTAATAAATATAAACAAGAAAATTGAAAGAAACAGTACATACATAATGGCGAAGGTAGGCGATACATCTTCTGGATGTGCGAATAGTGTTGAAAAAGTGTTGGAATGAAGTGGAGCGGGCACGGCCACCTCATTACTGGTTGTCAAACAAATAATCCCTGAGTTTTCTTTTGAATTTCTGTGATTTCACATGTCTTATATCATTAGGAAGTGAGTTATGGATTTCACAAATCTGGTAGCTAAATGATCTCTTGAATTGTTCCGTTCTAAATTTGGGTGGTGTTAAAGTACCTTTGAACCTGATATTCAAGGTGTGAACATCACTGCGGTGCGTTACTTTTTTAAATAGGTATGGTGGTGTCTTGGTTGATAATATTTTGTGAAATAAATTAGCAGCATGATGGATCCTTCTATTCTTCATGCTCAGCCAGCCAATTTCACGAAGCTTATGTGATATTCTTTCATATTTTCGAATTCCGTATATAAGTCGCAAACATGAGTTTTGTACTTTCTGTATTTTTTGAATGTATTGACTAGTTAAGCTTGGACCATACAAGGAATCCGCGTAATTGAAGAGGGATAGAACCAGGGTGTCACAAAGGATAGATTTCAATTTGATTGAAAGAAAGTGCCGGTTACCATATATCATTTTCAATGATGAATATGCACGCTGAATTGATTTGTTTATATGTTTCTCGTATCGCAGGTTATCATCTAGTAATACCCCGAGGCTCCTGGCTTCATGAACTAACTGCAGTGATTCATTTTCAATACAAATATCAATTGAGTTATAAATTTCATTTCGATTCTTTTTTGGCCCGAATAACATGACATTAGATTTATTGGCATTTATATTGAGACAATGATCGGTGCATAAATTTACAAATGATTGAAGATCTCTGTTTATTAGTATACAAGCATTTTCAGCTGTTTGAGGTGAAAAACTATAATAAAGCTGAGTGTCGTCTGCATATAAGTGAACACTACATGAAGTGATGCTTCTCAGTATATTTGAAGAGTACATACAGAACAATAAAGGGCCCAAGATTGACCCTTGTGGCACTCCAGAATTGAGTTGTAGATAACGTGATTCGAGACCATTCAAAATAACTTTTTGTTGCCTATTCTTGATATACTTGTCTAACAGTGAAATAGCAGATTCAGATAGTCCCATATAATGCGAAATTGCTAACAATAGGTCGTAGTTAATTGTGTCAAATGCACGGCTGAAGTCTAGTAAAACTAGGACTGTACATTTTCCCTGATCAGTAGACCTGAATATATCATCCACAATATGCAGGAGAGCAGTTGTACAACTAAAACCCTTCCTGAAACCCGATTGTGTCGGCGGTAATAAAGAGAGTGTATTCAAGTGTTCTTTCAGTTGAAACTCCATTGCTCGTTCTAATATTTTCGAGAGTGTCGGAAGTATACTGATGGCACGTAAATCTTTGTATTCCGATGGATTATTTTTTTTTGGAAGTACCTTCACAACTGCTCTACTCCACGCCACTGGAAACACATTTTCATTCAAACAGTAATTTACTATATGGGCGATGTATGTAATAATATGTGGACAGCATAATTTAATCATTTTTATATTCAATTCATCGCAACCGGTTGCATTCGTTTTAATGTTCGATATGGTTTTCAAAATGAATAAGTCGTTCACTTCTTTAAAGTTCAATTTCGAGTCCGTTACGCAAGTGTTCCTATAGAAATTTAATAACTCATCCGGTGGTGTCTTTGAGGATATGGAATTTATAAAAAAATCATTTATTTCATTAGGTTTTCTATAAGAGCCTCCGGAATGTCATTTTGTTTCTGAGCTAGTATATTATTCACCCTGAGGCTTTTCCACATCTCCTTAGAGCTCTTCTGCTCAAATTGATGAGTGAAGTACGCTTTTTTTTCCCGTTTGATAGCTTGATTAACGTAATTTCGCATATCCTTATAAAATTGCAATTTCCCTTCTGATTTATTTTTTTTATAATTTCGCAGTGCCTTGTCTCTGATCGACATCATTTCCTTCAATGTGTCTGTCAACCAAGGAGCACTGGGCTTGGTTACACGTCTTGTAATTATAGGTGCATGTCTGTCAAAAAGATTCAATAAACAGTTTACTAAATAGTTAACCTTTCCATCTATGCTATCTTGATCATAAATTCTAAAAAATGGGGTAACCAAGAGATCTCTTTGAAATAGGTCTTCGTTGAAATGTTTAAAATCTCTATATGTGCACATCTTAGGGCTCTCAAGTTTGTCATATACTTTCAGTATACAGTAAACTAGCAAATGATCTGAAACTTCATTATCTACCACTCCCTTATCTACTACATTCTCTTCATTAACAATCATAAAATCTAGGAGACTAGCTGTGGTATTAGTGATTCTTGTAGGAGAGTCTATTACCTGTTTCAGTTCTAAAGATTCCAAAATCGAAATTAATTGATCCCTTTTGGAATCCTTGAGATCTAAAAAATTCATGTTGAAATCTCCCGTACAGATAATTTCATCTACAGTTGGATACAAAAAACATAAAGTATCTTCAAGTTCATTCAAAAAAGCTGAATTATCATGGTTGGGAGGTTTGTATATTACCCCTACAGCATAAGTTTGTTTCCTTGATTTGATTTCTAACCATAACTGTTCAGAATATTTAACATTTTGCTTTAATACCTTGACTTGATAATCATTTTTCACGTAAATACCTACACCGCCGCCTCTGGACCCTCGATCTTGTCTAAATAGTCCGTATCCATCGATATTAAGTGTATCATTAGTAATTTCATTCGTTAACCATGTCTCACATATCATCAACAAGTCGAAATTATTATCAGAAACCGTTTCCCTGACCTCCCGCAAGGAGGGGACCAGCGACCTGACATTCAAACAACCTATTCTCAATTCGCACATCGCAAAAAAACATATGCCACAAATAAAGTACTGAAATAGGATAAGATTAAAATGTAAAAGAAAGAAGAAAAAAAAAACCTCTGATACACTGCTTCTTTCCTAAAAATTGATAAATATTCAAATAGAGCAAAAAACAATAAAACCGATGGGGTGCGGAACAACTGCACGAAGAACTGCAAATTTTATCATAATTAAATCTATTATTCGAGCAAATAATATAGTAACTAATGTAATGAGGTACCAGTTGGAATTTTAACTTAACTAAATAATAATCGTAGAACAAAATCAGGTACAGCAATTGATTAATTCATGAATTTTAAATGTCTACCAAGTTACGAATTCTGATGAGGGTGTCTCCATCATTGTATTTCATGAATACATTGCCGAAGTTGGTCCATACTTTCCCATTATTTCCAATTTTCTGGATAGCAGCTTTCATAATTTGAAGTTGATCCACAGTTAAGTCCTCTCTCATCACAATCCTTGTATTTTTCAGCTTTTTCTTGTTTGAAAAAGCATAGTTCTTGTATGAGTTGTTTGAAAATTTTACGAGAATAGGACGAGTTTTATTCACTTCAAATTTTCCAATTCTATAAGTGTTTTCAATTGTATGGCTTTCCATGTTTAAGTTCATTTTATCGTTCAGAATTTCTATCACTTTCCTTGCACAATCTTCACCTTGCGTTTCATTAACACCATATAATCGCACATTCCTGCTTCGTACGATTTGTTCATATTTATCCTGCTTACTAACAAGGGAATGAATTATACCTTCTTGCTCTCGCATCATCTCCATAATTTTCTTATTTTCTGTTTTGAGTTCATCTATTTCTTTCTTGAATTTCCCAGAGATAGTTTGCGTGATATCAGCTGTTAAGTGATTTAGAAAGTCTTCAGAGGTACACAGTTTTGTGACTAGAGTTTTAACTGCTGACTGCAGTTCGTCCTCTCCCTTTTTGGTGTTACCTCTGGTTGACATTGTTAAGTGGAAATTCACTAAAATACCTTATTCAACTTCAGTATTTTCGAAAATTAGGTTCTGGATGATATTACTCCTGTCTATACTTCGATTTCGCAAGAAAGTAGTGCAAAGTTACTCACAATTTACAGTATTTTGCAGCACCACGTTAAACACGTCTACTCCATACGGCACGACAGAGATCTCCCCACGACAGAGATCTCCCTCCTTTCTAGGAAATATGTTTCTGAATATTACTTGAGAGAGCAAAAGAGACTATAATTTTTCGAAACAATCTAACCTAACTCGGACTAAATGAACCTTCCTAAAAAGTATATTTTTCGATAAATTGCTTGAGGGTACAAGGGATACTACTTTTTCTAAAAAATCTAACCTAACTCAGCCTAAATCAACCTTTTTGTTAAAAAGTGAAATTACGCATCAAGCACAGTATATGGCAACAGTGCATCCATCGGGTATGTTCGGACACTGTGAGAATATGGAAATGTGGGGCTAACGAAATGTGGGCTTATCGAAATGTAGGTGTAACGCAATGAAGGCATAAAGAAATGTGGGCATAAAGCAATGTAGGTGTAACGAAATGTAGGTGTAACGTAAAGTGTCGATAGGCCCACAATGACAGTTTCATTGATTTCTAGTATAAAGGATAGTATTTGGCAACAGTGCTCCTTCGGGTATGTTCGGAAACTATGGGTGTTTCGAAATGTGGGGCTAACGAAATGTGGGCATATCGAAATGTGGGAACAACGCGATGTGGGAGTAACGAAATGTGTATGTAACGACACGCTCCCCTTACAGATGTTGCTGAGCGACCTAGTCAGCAGCGACATACCCAACGTGAACAACACCGATTCTTCTTCTTGCGTTTACAACTACCAACACATCAACGATGCCGTGATGTTCTTCTACGGACCACCGCAACCAATCAAAGACGTTGACAGCTTGAGGGACATCGTCACTGATTTCATGACTGACAGGAACTTCGCCGCTGCCACTTTCCTGCTGGCTTCCTTCCTCAGCAAAGAGCAGCCTACTTACGTTTACAGGTTCGTGCGGGAATATTACGCCTTCGATAGCAAAAGCTACAACCACATACAGGGTGTTTCATTAATATTGCACGAAACTTCGAGGTCATATCTTCTGGGTCGAAATAAGAAGAATAGTTCATATAAACATATGTCCGAATACGATTCGCTTCCGAGATAGGCGATCTTTGCTAAAGAGTACGTCCTTTTGTAAACGTTCAAAAACATGAATCATTATTGTTGTGTACAGGGTGATTCACAATAAATGCCCCTCCCTCTAGCGCCCTTATTGTTGAACTGATTTTAAAATTTGAAAAATCATCTCAAATGATTTTTCAGAAATTGTTTTCCCGTTGCATCGGAAAATACAGGGTGCTTGGAACAAACAATCTACAGAGTACTACTTGATTTTTTCGAATGGAGCACCCTGTTTTTCATTGTATTTTTAGATTCTCCCTGAAGAGCTGATTTCATCAATATATCACACTTGGGTTCTAGCGCGAAGGATTACAGAGATAAAGGGTGTTCAAAATCGAGATTTTTCAACTTTGTTGAACCTTCATTATTGATCAAAACGGCGGTCCCTATCTCAACTTTTGATTTACTATCTACTGACATTTAATTGGAACATATACAGTGTGAAATACTGTCTTTAGGTTAATCGAGGAGGTGGTACATTCATTATTCCAAATTTTTTGGGATTTTCTCTCCTCGTTTCTATAAAATAAAAATATGAATATTATTTCAATATACGTTTATAGTAGGGTCCCTTGATGGAAATTGACGTTAAAGTCATCTTAACAGGGTACGGACAGATCATAGCTGCATTCTTTTTTAATGATCTAGAGACTTTAGTTTTGTCTACTGGCATCCCTGACATTGCTGACACTTCACATCCATGAGCGCCACAGAAAATCATTCAAAATTTTAATAATAGGTATGTACAGGGTATTTACTTGTTGAGGAAGATCATATGACGAACGAGTTTTGTGATTATGATCCGATTCTATTCAAAATTTGAAGGTATTTGGGATTTTCCGGGGTTCGAGATAATGATTCATAGACTTATTATCCATGTAATGATTGTTCCCTCGAAATTGGACAATTCAAGATGACGGACCCAATATATACCGAAAGAAATTTCTAATTATGATCTGATTCTATTTAAGATTGGTATCTGAGGGTTTTCGGTGTCGAACTTTATGATTTTCTGTCAAAATTGGGAAATGCAAGATAGAGCGGATCGAATATGGCGAACGAATTACGTAATTATGATCCGATTCTATTCAAAAATCAAAATTGGTATCTGAGGATTTCCGAAGTCAGAAATGGCGAGCAAGCATTGTAATAAATAGTTGTTCAAAAATTCAATTAAACACGCGTTCGTAGATACTCAGTCGAATTGAGAAGAAGTAGAACATATATAATAGTTTGAAAAACTAAAGAGATAGATTGCCGAGCTGAAAAGGAGTATTAAAATGTATTAAATACAGTGTGCGGGTAAATATTTAACTGAAAGAATATTTTCTAGAAATATTGTGCATAGCAAAACAACGTTTGGCAAGTCATCTAGTAATTATATTTATTATTCGTTTCTAAAATTCTTTGTATATTATTGAAAAAAAAAAAAGATTTCTGAATGTCAATGATTATAAAATTCAAGAAAATGAAAAAAATTTACGATTTAATAAGGATATATTATTTACTGAATACGATATTTTCCTATTCTCTTCTGAAAAAATGGCGAAATGTGCTGTGTTAGGCTGTGCCAATCAGTAAGATGGCAAATTCAAAGTTATAAGCTTTCCAACAGATAAAGATAAACTCAAAACATGGAAAGTAAATATGAAGAGACCGAACAGGAAAATCGGTAAATTGAGCAAAAAATTGCGAGATCATCGATCTATATCTTGGTATAGTTGAATCAGGAATTCCATATGGAAATTACGTATGATATGCCAATGACCTAAAAAACAACAAATGTCAAAAGTCTAGTGTTTGTCCCCAGAATTGAATAAGGATGGAACTATATAACTGTTTCACAAACACTTTAGAGTGAGAGGAGACGAGGATCTGTCCGTACCCTGTTAGACGACAAATACGTCAGTTTGCTAGTTTGCATCAAGGGACCCTAGTTTATAGGAGTCGATGCATAGATTTCGGGAGGATGTAATTCAATGTTCTGGCATTAGCCAGGAAAGTAGTTGTTTTTCTCCCGAAATACACCATTGTTGTTCATTTTATGAACATTTTGAGCATTGTGACTATTTCGGAGTTGTTTTTATTACCTAAGTTATTAGGTGTTTCATCGTCGTTCATCTGAGACGGCATGTTTGCTGAAGAAAGCTGTACATTGCACTGACATTTTATATGAAGAAAGCTGTACATTGCACCGACATTTTATATTTCATATTTTCTCTCTACTATATAGGGTGAGTCAAAAATGTGTACCGTACCGAGCTTTCTGGAGGTGATATAGTACTATGAAAAATAAGTATAGTTTAATGAATAAACTAATGGCCCAAAGTGTAAATTGAGGGAGGTATATCCTTTCAAAGTTGATAAAATTGAAATGAAATATACCGGGTGTAAGCACATGGCATCATGGTACACCCACTTTTTCTATAATAATAATAATAAGTGATTGAAATTCGGAATGACACATTGTGACAAAAATAAGTTTCAATTTCCACTTCCGCTTTCAGAGCGAAAAAAAAATTACTACATAAAAACGGTACTCTTATCAGAATACAAAAATTGTAGCCGTTTTCAAGATATTGTCACAAAGGAGGAGATATTTGAAGCCAAATTCCAAAATTTTTATAAAATTATATCGGTTCGAAGTCATTGAACGGTCACGTCTGGGTTTATTATTTCCGAAATTATTAAATCACGAACACAGGCATGGCTTTGACTTTAACGAACCAGGAATATACTCCTGACTTCCTCACTGTCACGTTTCCGAAACATAGATTGAACATATAAAAGGCGCGAGGAAGCCTGCACAGGTATCACTCAATCAGTCAATCATTCAATCATTGAAGAATTCGGTCAATTCGATAATTTGATTCGATCATTTACCCGAACCGTCGGAGTTCGGGGCAGGACAGAAGATGCCCTTCCTCTGAGGTCCCAGAAATAGTAGCTTTCTATAGTGTAGATATAGGGTAAGTTAAGTTTTGATTTCATTGTTATCCATTGCCAAGAATAAATGTGTGTGTACGTTTTGTTTGAAGAACCTTCTGAGTGTTATTTGTTATTCTCACTTTTGAAGTTCATTCTCTGATGGATCGAGAGCACAACTTAGGCAACCCCCGCCTACAGTTTGTGACAATATTTAAGTTTTTGTAGTGACATGATATCAGCAGATAAATTCATCAGTAATAATATTTCAGGAAGCCTCGAACTTTTTCATGAAATCTCTGCACAATCCTCAAACGTGTTCTAGAATCTGAAACGCGTCGAGCGAGAAACATCCCGGCGTAACGAATAACCTGAAATTTCTTAAAATCCCAGTTGAAAATCGCAGTAATATTATAACTAAGCAAAAAAACTGACTAAGGAAATGAACAATACCAATATTCATGTCATATACTTCAAAATTGAAAATAAAATTGATCATGGACATCTAAAATATTATTGTTACCGATGAGTTAATCTGGTAAAAACTCAAATTTCTCGAAAACTGTTACAATTCTTGTATTTTGATAAGAGTTCCGTTTTTATGAATTTTTTGTTTCGCTCTATCAAGTACTTCTATGTTTTCATCAGAAAGAATTCGGGGAAAAATTTGGCTTGAAAAAATCATGACCCACCCTCTAAAAACACCCTTTATAACAATATCAGAAATGTGAGTGTATCAGAAAAATGTATTTTATCAACTACCTTTATGCAGGAGATTTCCATCTGGTGGCTTTTACCGTTCAAAAGTTATGTGGGAAAATCATTCAAATTTTATCACCTGGATTCAGGAAAAAATTGCTAAAGAATTTTTCTCGACGGATCTATATGGTTTTCGTGATGCTGAATCTGAAAATCTTACTTTGATTTTTTGCTTATAATTCCGAAACGACGTGATTTATAGAAAAAATACATCATACAAAAATGAAAGCCTATAAAGTTTACTGTAAAAAAAGATAAAAATCGGCTCGATATCTTATTTGATTCAGCCGCTAGAGCGCCCTGAAAATTGACAATAGTTTTAAAGTTGTCCAAAATATTCGTATTTCAGATTTTAAATTAGTATACATCGCCAGGCTAGTGTTTCCGCCTAGTGTGTCTCACCATGGAGTATCCTGAACCTCCTTCCTCAACATATATTATATGCCTTCATTTTTAATTCTCCTCCAAATCACAAATATACATCAATTACGCTTCATTCTGAATCCAGCACGAAAATTAAAATTTGTTTAGTACTATTTTCTATCCTCTTGGAACAACGCCGATTGTCAAACATTTAGTTAGCTGAGTGATTTGTTTAAAAATTTATGTTATTTTTCTATTTTCGGTGAGTTAAAATGCCGAACGATAATTAATGTACACTTTGTGATAAGCCGCTGGACGATTGAACCAAAATTGTGAGTGTGCAGAGAGAGTTGAAAGCCGTTGTAAAAGCTAGCGTGAGGAGGAAATACGGTGAACCTCGTATGAAACTGAAGGTATCAATATTTCTGTTCATCTAACCAACATATCACCAGTCACAACAAACATTAAATATAGATGTTTATCATTAGGTATCTCTTTTGTGTTTCAGAAGAAGAGTCTCCCAAGGCGAAAAGGCCACGAAAGAAATGAACCTCCCGCAATCGACCATTTACTGCCTCAACTGCACTAAATACATATACAGTGTGTCCCACTTACCATGTTCATCATGGGTATCTTTTTAACGGTGAGAGATGCGAGGTCGGTTAAATGACACCAAATGTGGAGTTTGTCAAGGCCAACTATAATGTGAAAAAACATTTTGATAAAATCTATTCGTTTTTGTTTTATACACAAAAAACAGATTTTGATCATTTTCATGTCTCCTCCGTAACTTCTTTATTTATGAAAATATTCAAATAGGAATTTCACATTCTCATGGCAGTTTTTCAAAGTGATTTCGAAAAAAATATGAAATTCATACCAACTCTTCTAGAATTTGAGATAACAGCACCAACTTTAGTTTTTCAAATGTAGGTCAAAGCTCACTATGACTTAGTTACAAATAATTTTTTTTTCTCTTACAGATGATATGTCGCAGTAATAGTTTTGTGTTGATAACAACGGAGTTATCGTCATTTATACAAAAACAAAAAATTATTTGGAAGCCGCCATCTTGAATTTATAAATTTTAACAAAAAAATCATGATCTCCGACCTCAAAAACCCCCACTTACCAATTTTGAATGGAATCGGACCAAATCTTGTCCGCCATCTTGGAGCAGCCATTTTTTTTAAATTCAACAAGAAATTCATAACTCCGATTAACTTGAAATTTGGCAGGTGTTCATAATTTCGGTGACAATACCTTATGGAATTTTTGTTGAAACTAAAAAAAATGGCTGCTCCAAGATGGCGGACAAGATTTGGTCCGATTCCATTCAAAATTGGTAAGTGGGGGTTTTTGAGGTCGGAGATCATGATTTTTTTGTTAAAATTCGTGAATTCAAGATGGCGGCTTCCGAATAATTTTTTGTTTTTGTATTAATGACGATAACTCCGTTGTTATCAACACAAAACTATTACTGCGACATGTCATCTGTAAGAGAAAAAAAAGTTATTTGTAACTAAGTCATAGGGAGCTATGACCTACATTTGAAAAACTAAAGTTGGTGCTGATATCTCAAATTCTAGAAGAGTTGGTATAAATTTCATATTTTTTTCGAAATCACTTTGAAAAACTGCCATGAGAATGTGAAATTCCTATTTGAATATTTTCATAAATAAAGAAGTTACGGAGGAGACATGAAAATGATCAAAATCTGTTTTTGCGTATAAAAAACAAAAACGAATAGATTTTATCAAAATATTTTCCACATTATAGTTGGCCTTGACAAACTCCACATTTGGTGTCATTTAACCGACCTCCTATCTCTCACCGTTAAAAAGATACCCATGGTGAGCATGGTAAGTGGGACACACTGTATAAGTACGAATATTTTGAATAACTTGAAAACTATGGTCAATCTTCAGCACCCTCTAGCGGCTGAACCAGATAAGTTAGTGAGCTGATTTTCATCTTATTTTTTTTTGTGAATTTCATTTGCTCTCATTTACATCTGCGCTAATTTTTCTCTAAATCAAGTCGTTACGGAGTTATGAGCGAAAAACTAAAACAACTCCCGATTTTTCATAATTTTCTGCCATTTTCATTGTGAAGCCATATCCGAATTTAATCGATAACTGAATTTTCAGATTCAGCATCCCAAAAAACATGGATCCGTTGGTAAAAATTCTTTAGCAATTTTTTCCTGTCCAAACTACCAAATGATTGAACTATTTTTGACTCACCCTGTATATTATTTTCACATTTCTTATTTCTGCCTGAATTCATATTGCTGTGAAACTGTAAAGTTTTGATGAACAATAAATGATTAATTGATTGACCTTCACAGGTTCGATATCAAGCCTAGTACGGCAGCTGCTACTAGCCACTTGCCTGAGTGGGTTAGCGTGCCTCATCTCTTCGATTTGATTTACGTTTGGGGAGTGCCTTATTGGTCCACGGGGCAAGAGTGGGACATAAGGGACAAGCGGATTTCGGATACTATCATGTCGTTTTGGACAAACTTCGCTAAAACGTCGAATCCGACGGAGAATAGCATTTATCCGGTCACGTGGGAACGGTTTAGCCGAGACAGTCCGGGGATTTTGATCATCGATGGCACCTTCAACATGAGCAATTCCAGGAATTTGAATTACAAGGCGTTCGAGTTTTGGAATGATTACTACCCTAAGGTGAGGGCTGTCGCTACCCAGTGTTGTGAACCTATCGACAGTTCGTCCGGAATGATACTCCATAGCTTCTTATTGACGTGTCTTTTTCAGATCGTACTACGAAATATATTTTAACTGAATAATCTTATTATGAAGAATTTATTGTAAGTCTACCAGAATGTATTTTTATCATACCTAATGCCTGTAATTACATACATTTGCAATACATTTTGATGAATATCTGTTTGGGAAGTTATTTTTGTTGCATTAACTACAATAGAGACTTTTCAGCGGGGAAGTTTGTCTGACTCCAGTTCAATCTCACTTCTCGAAATATGTTAAAGCACGGTGAATCTCGAATGCATATACTGAAAGTGTTATAATTTTTATGTGAATCTGGTATACATCTGAAAATGCCTTCGTTATAGACCTAGTTTCCCAGTTCTAACGTCTGTTTGTAAAGTGCCGCCCTGTATACAGAAAAGAGTGCAGAGGTACCTATTGTCATCAATATTTATTGTAATGTTCCTGAATGAACTCATATTCAAAGTTCACAATAGTTACCTACAAGAAGGAACTGAATGTGAATAGCCATCTTTGTAGCCAACCTAGTATGCTAGTTTGTCAGTGATTCCAACGCATTGCAATTTGTTGATAGATACCTAATTCATCATGAAAGTGTCTGAGACAAATTGCTGGAAACTATGCTCAAGTTTCTAGCTCATTCGAAAATTTGACAGGTACACGGGTGGTTAAACTTCCAGGACAAGTCATGATTTGTACTAGGAAGGCAAAGGAAAAATATACCATCAAAAAAATCTCGAAAACAATGTATTAATTAAAAAAAAAGGATGAACATCCACGATCATAGTCTCACGAGCGATCACCTCAGCTTGCAAATATTCGTGAACCAATACGAAACTATTATACAAAAATTATCCTGGAAAATCTCACCTATACCACCACTCTTTCCACTGCAAAAGATACCTCTTCAGCAGACTTACTAACAAGCACCGACGTACGTCTTTTAGCGTGCTCCAAACGTTTTTGATAAATGAAGACTAACATTGACTTTTCGAGACTCTTAAAGACATCCAATTACTTCCTGTAATTTCGAATGACTCGCAAAGACTTCCAGCCTCATCCAATAGGGTCTGAAAATTTTCAAACTCACATTGAATTATAGGCAGAGCACATCAGACGTTTTTTAATATATGAAGTCTAACAATGACTCTCAAATACCTCCAGTGACTCCCATAGTCACCTAATTACGTCCAGACATCCAGTTTCATCCAGTTATGTCTAGAAACTACAACTCACAAGGTAGTGCACATCAGGAGTTCTTGAATAAAGAAGGAACAATGACTGTCCAGACTTCCAATGATTGCTAAATAATAATAATAAATAAGAAAGGAGAATGTCAATGACTCTCAAAGACTGCATAATGACTCTTAGGGAGTTTCTAAGACTGCCAGTGACTCCCAAATACTTTAAATAACCTTCTGAAAACACTATAGTGTACACCTAACTTATTCTGTAACCCCAAAAGACTCAAAAGAATACTCAGTGACTTTCGGAAAAGTTTCAACCCCCCCCCCCCATCCAGGAAGATTTAGAAACATGAAACAACAATTGCAAGTCTTGATACACGATTTTCTACTCACCTTATTGTACTTTATATATAAGAGGCTAGTGATAGAGAGCTCTACAGTATTGAAAAAATTCAAGAAATTAATTAATTATTCTCAAGTTTCTAGCTCATTTAGGAAGGTAAAGGAGAAATATACCACCAACAAAATCTCGAAAACAATGTATTAATGAAAAAAAAAACGCATGAACATATTCAAGATCACAGTACCACGAACGATCACCTCAGCTTGCAAATATTCGTGAACCAATACGAAACTACTATACAAAAATTATCTTCCACAATCTCACCTGTCCCACCACTCTCTTTGCACTGCAACAAATACCTCTTCAGCACGTCACTCTCCTTAGCCCACGCTGAGGCATCACCAGCCTTACTAACAAGCACCGACGTACGTCTCTTGACGTGCTCGTAAAAGAACTGCAGCTCCGAGCTCAGATTTCTTTTGAAGTAAGGCAGGCTTTCTCCGTCACTAGTTGAAACTACTAGGAAGATTTGCTGCGCCAGGAAAAGCATCAACGACTCCAGGGAAGTTTTAACCTTGCCGTAATCCAGCTTTTCTATCCAAGGGTCAGCTAGCCCGGAATACTCGTACATGGCGTAGCGCAGGAAAGCGCTCAGCTTCTGATTGGGCAGCCTGTCGCTGAAGTCCTGGTGCTCTACCATCCCGAAGTACCTCGAGTGGAAGTCCGGAGGCACCTCGGAGCTTCCCTGGCTCTTTTCTTCTTTAAGAGCGTCCAAGGTTTTGCAGAAGAAATGCGCGAGACAGAGCAGCATGCCGTACGTGAGTGTTGTCGATATTGGTAGTTCGAATTTGGGGACGCTGAAGTCGTTTTGGATGATGAGGGTCGCGGTGTCGGGGACAGAAACGTCCAGTAGATCGGTCAGGCGCCGGTTGGTTTTGTAGAGGATAGAGAAGCCGAGGGTAACCGCTACTATCAGTCTGGGGAGACAGAAGTGGAATCATTTTCTAACCGTCAGACTCGTTATTGGATCATTATAAATCTTCTGAATTATAAAAACAGCGTAGTGACATTATCATATAGTTTTGTTGACAGGTTCCGAGCAGGTTGTATATGGTGGGTTTTTACTAGATGGCTGACAGAATGTTACTGCGTTGTTTCCTTCAAAAATAGTCAAAGATAGACCTAAAAACTTCACAAACGATAATATTTCCACAAAATTCTCAAACACACGACATGTTTCGCTACCACAGTAGCTTCGTCAGGTGATATACTGGTACGATGAACTGAACTCTCTTTCGGAAGTAAATTTCAATAAAGAACTCAATATCATAAAACAGATTGCAGTGAACAAAGGATAAAACGTTAATTTGATAGACAGTATTCTTTCTAAACAACTTCATAATGAAGCTATTCAAGAAGTTTATCCTACCATCAAGAATAACAATCAAAATTATAGAACTTCAACCTATTTTGGATCATCAACTGGAAAATTAGCTTCATTTCTACATAAACAGGACTTGAAAGTAGCATATAGAACAAATAAAACGTTAGAAAGGTTTATCAAGAATAATAAAGACAAAACTTCTAAATTCGAAAAATCAGGGGTATACAAACGTTGATCTCGTCCTAAGGTATATATCGGTCAGACAGGTCGTACGTTTAATCAGCGCATTCATGAACATAAGATGAATTTTATGTACAAGAAAATAAATTCAACATACGCCAACCATATATTTGAAGGAAACCATAGTTTTGATGATAATTCCGAAATTCTACACGTAGAAAATAAAAGAATGAAACTCAATCATTTTGAATCATTAGAAATCAACAAACTCAAGAATTCTGACATTTTACTTAAGGATCAATTAGACCTCAATAGTTCACCACTGTTGAATTTGTTTTCTTAGTATGTAATAACATGTATTTGATATCAACCCTTTCAAGTTAATTCGGTACACCGTATTTTAATGCAGATATTGTGCCTAATTCCGGAAAATGGAGGTTTATCGAACCTGTCCATAGGTAACTAATCCTTCAGGTTGGGAAAGTTGGATAAGCAGGCCAAGGTGAGCTTAGTTCATCGTAGTTTGTTTAATCTATGGTACCAGTATATCACCTGACGAAGCTACTGTGTTAGTGAAACATGTCGTGTGTTTTGAGAATTTTGTGGAAATCTTATTGTTTGTGAAGATTTAACATTTTCCATGGATTTCCATCAACGGCCGATTCAATTTGAAAAAAATAGACTTCCTAGCTCCAACTTTGTATTTGTAACAAATTTGGAACATTTAATACACAAAAACACCAATTATACAAAATTTCTAGGAATTCAAATAGCTTTCAGATTGAAATTTGATGAACATGTTGAAATTTTGAACAAAAAATTGTCCCCTGGATGTTATGCGGTGAGAGTCACATCAAATAGACTAGGACTTTCTTCTTATAAGGTTGTTTACCACTCTTTAGTTGAGTCTCATTAAAAGTATGGAATTTCATTCTGGGCGGTGTGTAATGATCATCACATAAACTCAGTGTTTATATTGAAAAAACGCGCAGTAAAATATATGTGCCAAGCAAAAATTCGTGACCTCTGCAAATAACTTTTCAATAAAAAACACAAAATCTCAAAAATTTATGTGATCTTCTTCATGGAAATGGTGTGCTTTGCATTAAACTACCAATTCAATCATTGGCTCTATAGTGAGAGATTCAATAACGTATGTAGGCTGTAAGATGTTCAATCATTTGCCGAAATGCATCTATGAAGTTGAATCCAATAAAAAATGAAAACAGAATAAAAGCACTCTTTTTTTATACATTTTAACCATTAAATCAGTTTTGATAGGAATATTTTTATATGTCTTACTTTGTCAATAAGATTTTACATCTTTAGACAAGAAAGCATATTCTTTCAAGTTTCAATGTAATGCCCCAGGCAATTAGTACCGATAAATTGAATCATCTTCTATTCCTAATGTTTCGACTGGATTGAGCAGTATAGCCAACCAGCGTAAGAAATTCCAAATCTATAAATCATTCCGAATATTATTATTTCAATACATCTCATTTCAGCACGTGCTCACCGAGAACAATGAATAACCTCAATTGGTGATTTCATATAAATAGGGGCCGTTGACCATTTATTCAGACATTTCTGATGATTTGTTTGAATCGACAATGTTGATTTGAGTAATTAGTCAAAACTTGAGCTAATACAGCACAATGTAGCTTATTAGGTTAATCAGATAACCGAGCAATCAAATCAAATATTGTCTAAGAAACATTGTGAAATGAGAAAATAATTATGGTAATTGTTTAACCCCGAAATATACCAACCGCTCGGTGTTCAACCTGTTATCAGCTCTCTTGTACAGAGGTGGATCAACACAACAATTTATTTTTTAGTGGACTAGGGAAAATGTTACGCTTTTCAAATTGTCACCAGTGGAAAGTGAACCGCTGAATCCACAAATTAAAGAAAAACACCGGACCCGAAATAAAGTAAATTTCACCATTTTCAATAGTGAAAAAAACAACTTACTTATTCATTATAACGACTGTCAGTTCAATTGGCACCTTATCCATCTGGTTGAATCTACCATATTCATCTAGAGTGTACAAAACGA